GTAAAATACATTACTTGAGATAATAATTGTTGTTGAGGTTCAATAATTATGAGTCAATTATGGGTCAAGTTAACTTCGATAACAAAAAATGTCTCAAAACTTATTTTAATTATGGTAGGTGTTGGTGGATGGCATCCTCTTGGGATGGTTTTTGCAGGATACCAAGTTGGCAAGTTGTTTAGCCTTCCATGACTTGGGTTTTAAAAATATTTAATCACCACAAATATCATTCTCACAACTACAATTATTCAAGAAAATTATTATTATTTAAGAATTGAACATCATTTTCAAAGCGGCATTTTCTAGAGCGAATTTTTTAAGAGGGAAGAAGAATAATAGTAAAATGGTAACTTAAAAGAACTTAAAAAACAAGTTAAGAGGGGGAGAAAATTATATTGGTGTAATCACAGTCAACATGTGCAATAAATAGACAGGCGAAAGCAACATCCATTTCATGGTCATGGTCCTCGCCGGTCTGCCCAGGACGGTTGATTAACCTCAGAGTTACAAATTCTAACGAGTTGAGATGTGATGTGGTCTAGATGAACAGAAACTTCTCGCGGTTCGATTGTAGATCATGAAGTGGTGATCCATAACTATATGTTTCATGCGAGAGTGAAAGATCGGATTGGGTTTGAGATATGTGGCACCCAAACTGTCATCGTAGCGTACAAGAATGAAGGATTATCGAAGGTGCTTCTCAGAAGACCAGGAGAATGAGATAGTGGCCAATACAGATGATCTAAGTTGAAGTGTAAAAAAATCGATTATCAAGATTACCACCTCAGTTAACATATCAAACTAGGCACACAAAGTAAGAGGCTAGAGACCCCTAAAACATGACCTCAAATTCTCTTCAGATTTCATAAAACACATTTGATCTCGTTCTAGTTGAATCACTGTAATTTTTTTTATCCGCCGCAGTAATTTCAACTAGACAATCAAAAATCTCTTAAGAAGAGAGCGCGCAACATAGAGTAGAAGTAACGGAAACAAGAGAGCTTAATTAGAAGGGTGTAAAATGGTACTTTAACAATTTCTTCACAAGAAGGGGAACAAAAGAGTGTCTATAAGATAATACTTGGTTGGAAGATAGATTCAAACCTCAAATCTCGCTAAGATGAGTCCAACACCTCAATCATTTAAGTTACATTCTCATTGCCAGAAAAAATTCCTCCAACTTCAAACACCATAAAATCCATCATCTCAAATCCACCAAACCAACTCAATAATCACCTAAATCCACCCTCTTAATCTCTTGAACAACATAATGCACAATCATGTGCAACCCTAAAGGCTTCGAAATGGAATCTAGTGATCTACCACCAAGTTGCAAGGGGACAGAGGAATGAGAGGAAAGTGTTGGAGTGGGGTCTTAGAGAGTTGCGTGAATAAAGATGGGCCGAGTGAGTGAGTCCGTAATGTTGCTAAAATTGGGCGTCTGACTCACTCAGTACTCCTATCTATTTTGTGTTAGCAAGGAAAGGGGCTATGTTCCCTACTCATCACTTCTTTTGGCCCAAACTCCACCACTCCAACAAAGTCCCCTCACTAACTCACACACTCATACTTGTGACCGTGACTCGTCCATCCATAAAAATCATGGTCAAAGTGTAAAAAAAAATTAACTTCACGAGTAAGAGTGTTCAATGGTCAGGTTCGGTTCGAATCATATCAAACTCATGGGAATCACGATCCAATAGTGAAAACATTCTTAGAATCAAGGATTGGATCAACATTGAATTCGGTCTTGCATGCCCATTATCCATCATTTCTCCCTCTCTGTACACTTCACAATAGTCATCGTATCATGGCTTCTCAGAGGTCTAGGAGATCCAGATGACAAAACAACACGAAAATGCGGGGTTCTAGTTGAATCGTGACTACACGACCAAAGTCCCAATGCTCACTGAAGCCAGGATCGACGAGGCGAATGACTCAACGATCCGTAATTCGAAATTTCCATACCACAACAATCACTCGAGAGAGAGGACAAGGCAAAGCTATATGATGAACTATGTGGTTTTGCATCAAAGGGTTAAAAAAAGAGAAGAGAGATAGATTGGAGGGAACAGTCGGACAGATGTGTCATGTGACCAACACCTTTCTTTCCATTGGGGGCACTCTGTTTTTTCCTTTCCATCATCTCTCTTTCACAAAAACAGAGCTCACCATCTCTCTCACCCCTTCTCCTTCATTATTACGGGAGGGGCCAAACCCCACTGGAAAAAAGGGCAAGAGGGTCCCGTTTCTCTCAATTCCCTGCCTTAGCACTTCTTCGCTTGGCAATTTTGGTCCATGCCCACATGGTATAGTACTACTACTTGCCACCCCGTTTCCACCCCCACCACCCCCGTTACAACTCATCCCCGTCCCTTTCTCTCTTCCCATGTAACTGTGTCTACCTAGTCTTTCTTTCACCAGTCGATTTCATACACACACTTGCCTTATCCTACAGTTGGAGATTGGGAGTTGGGAAGGACACCCTGATGATATTCCTCGGATACCTTCTCGGGTTTTGTAGATAATCCGAAAGAGATTTAGTTTTTGACATGGTATTTGATATTGTCTTGATGGAGATATTTCGCTGCTGAACTCATCCTTGTTATCTCAATAGGAAGTTTTGAGGGCACATAAGATAATGTTCCGTTCTTCATTATAAAAAAAAAAGATAATGTTCCGTTCTTCAAAATGTCAGGGTTGTAATGTTGGCACAATATGAGGAAGTCGGGATATGATGGTCTGTGACAATGCAAGTGGTCAGGCTGGACCGTCCAATGGATTATGGTGGCCCTGTTCCAAAATTGAGACGTGACCCAAATTGATTTTTGATTATAATAAATTAAAATATTTATATCATAATTATTTGAAATGTAATTTCTTTCTAGCATTGTTTAAAATAAAATTATCTATTATGCCTCTAATTTTCGTATTCTCAATGGGATAATTTCAATTGTTATCGTAGCTATTTCATTAATTTTCTCTTTTATTATCTTTTAAAACAAATAGGATATGTATAGTGTATGTATAAGTATCTAGTGTATATATACATGACAAAAGTAACCAATGGCTAACATCAATATTAATTAATATAAATAATTCATTAGCATACTCATAATCAATTAATTATACACTACAAATACAACCTACAATTTATGATTGGGTTAACTAACAAATCCACGTGGAGGCCGCTAATAATCGGAGGTCCTGTGCGGTAGGGCTGGGCATGCGGGCGGATCATCCGCGGGTTTGGACCAACCCACCCGCATTTGACCCGAATTTCGTTAAGTGGGTGGGTCTGTGGCCTGTGGGTGGGTGACGGGTTGCGCTGGGAGCCATCCGCCGGGTGGTGGGTGGGTTGTGGGTGAATGTGCGGGTGACCCGCTCAACCCAACAGCAAAAAGATCAAAGTCGTTGGTGCTAGAGAGAGGAGAATGAAGACGTTAGATATAAACTCGGACTGCTCTTGGAGTTCGAACTTCAAAATCAACCTTCCAAATAGAGATCCCCTCTTCTTCCTTTTACTTTTTCCTCTAATTCTTGAGCCTAGATCACCGCTCTTTCCTTTGTGGAATTATTTTTCCTAGTTCCTTGCACCTAATAATCGTCTCAATCTGTAGAAAACTCTTTCATAATAGAATTTCTATCCAATTTAAGAACTAATTCGACATTTTTCGCCCTATTTCAACTTCTTGTTTCCCTCGATGATTCTCTTCACCTATTATCATGTCAAGTTGACTCCTTTATATTATATACATTGTGATGTGGGTGAACCCACAAACCCACCCGCATCATCCACCATCCGCCCGACCCAACCCGAGACTCAATGTGGGTGGGTGGTGGGTTAAAAATTATCAATCCGTTTAAGCGCGGGTGGGTGCATTTTATGGTCAAAATCCACCCGACCCACCCAATGCCCACCCCTATTGTGCGGGAGGGCCGCTTGGCACACCCTCTTGGTTGGGCCTGTGGTCAGGTAAAATCCTACATGAAAGGAAAACCTTTCATTGCCTCAATCATCATACTAGAAATCAACAAGCGGATGAGATGCATTGTGCGAGTCCCTAACAAAATGAGTGTTTTGGACGTCCTTTAACAAAGTCTTCGGTATTCACAATCGATTTAGATACAAGTTATCATGAATTAGTGCAGACCTTCAAATGTTACAATAAGATTTTTTCGTTGACAATACATTTAGCTACGTGATGTAAAATCCATTATTCAACATTTTTCTACGCCTCCTCACTCAAAACACCTTTGCAATTCATAGAATGTATCTGATTACCCTGCTGAACGGATGAATAGACAGACACCAAACACCCCCATTAAATTCCCCCGGATTGCAACCGTCGGACTGGAAAAATCCCATCAACAACAATGATTTGAAGAAGTATTAGGAAGAACTATTCCACCAATATAAAACTCGACGTTGATGATGGAACTCCTTTAATTTCCCCCCATTTACAAATTTATTTATAGGGTCCATCTCACTCCACTTCACTATCACCATATATATCATACAATAATACCACTGCTAATAATAATACATCGACGTAAATACAAATGCTAATAAGTCCCCCAAGCTGAAGCTGCCGCCCAAGGGAATCCCATTGGCCAGCAATTGACTTCGTAATTCCATTCCCTCCATTTTCAATACACTGCTGCAGAAGTGTGGAATGAACACTAACATCGACACATTCGAGACATGAATTCTAGACATTTATGTCGAAAGTCAGCTGCTTTACTGTTCGTTTTAATCCATTTTTCTGAGCTATGTATGATCGTCAGTCCAGCACTAATTGGGACCGAATTGGCAGTAGCTGTACTAATTACTAAACTCACAAAGGATGATTGAAATGTTTTTTGATTTCAATGGCGGTCGGTAGATGAACCAAAAATTAAGCGAACCCCCCTTTTGCAAGAAAAAGGGAAGTAAAAAAAAGAAGAAAAAAAATATCTAATTTCCCAAAAACGAACACTTTTCCCCGCAACTTCTTTTTTTACAGCACAACCCCACCAACCACCGGGACATCGGAAACGGCGCCGGCGGCGGTTTCGGCCACGGCGTGCCAAGCCGAGGCGGCGATGAGCGGCCGGCTGTGCCAACCGAGAGTCAAGCAACCTTCGTTCTCCTCGACGCAGTATCCCTCGGCGGAGAACAGAGTCAGCAACATGCTCGCCTGCTTGAACGCGTTGGACCCCAAATGGAGCGGCCTGAACCCGGCTCGGGTGAGCCGCTCCCTCCAATTGGCCAGCGGCTCGTGCCGCTCGAGCCGGGCCGACCCCTCGCAGCTCACCACGTTGCAAATCTCCCTCTGAATGTACATCTCCGCCAGCGCCTTCTCCGGCTGGAGAGCGCAGGCGTCGAGGGAATCGAACATCGTCGAGTAGTAGTACAGCGATTCGGTGAACCTGTCGAGAAACGCCGGCTGGTTGTGGTTCGATTCCTGCTCGACGACGGTCATGATTTTCGGGTTGAGCGACCTGATCCAGCCTAGGACCGCGTCGATCGGCGCGGGCCGGGCCGGGTCGCCGGGCGAGCCCGGGCCCAATAGCTTGTGGAGCTGCATGATGGAGTTCACCGCCACGGCTTCTTTGGGGTTCACCTGGAGCATCCACGGCTTTACGTCCTCGAGCCGGGCCGCGGCGACGCCGCGGAACGCGAACCGGACGTTGACGGATCGGGCCAGCTCGGCGAGCCGGAGTCCAATCTCGCGGAGCGAGTCGCGCCCGTCGGGGGATGGTGGGCCGATGCCCGTGAGCCTGAGGAGCGGGGGCCCACCGGGCCGGAGGGCCAGGGCCTGGATCAGGGCCGGCCACTGGAGGCCGTGCATCAGGTTGAAGTCCACCACGTGGACGCAATCGTGGCCGTCGAATGCCTCGAGGATCGCCTGATTAGCTGTAAAGTGGGCGAACTTCAGGTACGGACATGCCTCGTAGAAATGGTGGTAGAGAATCTCGTTCTCGTAAGCCGAGCCCCCCGGGACTCCGCCGCCGCCTCCGGCGGCGAACACCCGCCGGCCCAGCGCGTCGATGAAGTACCCGGCGACTTTCCCGATGCCGCAGCCGGTGTTGACCCGGGTCAACAGGGACTGCATATCCTGGATCAACGACCCGGCCAATGCCAGCTCGCCACGTTGGACGTACTCCGCGCACGTCATCAGCATGTGGACCAGCCTTATCCCGGAATCCTCCTCCACGGCCGTCACCACCGTCAATTGCGGCGGCTGCTGATTGTGAACCGCCGCCGTCGGGGGCGGCAGTTGTTGATCCATCCAGGAGCCATCCAGAGCCGTAGGATTAGACATGAGATCCGAGAGATCGGACGGTAGAGAAGGGAGGGACTGGGACTGGTTCAACTCGGAGAGCAACGAGTCGACCCAGGTGGAGAGATCGGAAGGGTTGTAGAGAACGGCGTCGGAGGCGAGGAGCGAGAGCTGCTGTGAGGGGGAGTTGAGCATGGCGGTCTCGAGCCGCTCCAGCCGCTGGGCGACGTGGCGGAGGTCGGAGGAGCGGACCTTGTAGCCGGCTCCGGCGAGGAGGCCATCGATTTCTGGAGGCTTGGGGATGATGGTGGTGGAGGAGGACGACGAAGAACTCGCCGGCGGGTTGCCGATTGGAATTGGAGGAGCTGCGGCGGCGGTCTCGTAAGGCACCATGTGGTAATTAATTCCGATTGTTGTGGGAATTAGGAATTAGGGGTTTTGGTTCTGCTGTCCTCTTTCTTCCTGGGTTTTGGGATAGAATAATCGGCGGCGGTATGTGGGTTTCGTTCCGAGAGGTCAGGCGGAGATCTGATCGGAATCCATGCCGGGAAATTGGAAAAGGGGAAGGGGGGGAGAAAGGGAGTGAGTCAGCAAGTGAGTGAGTTAGCGAGTGGGAATTAAAAGAGAAGCTGAATGGGGGAAGGTAAAGGAAAAGAAAAGGAGAAGGGGAGTATAGAGGGATTCTTTTTCTATTTATTTTAATTTTGTTGGGTTCTTTTTTTATAATTTGATTAGAGAGAGAAGCTGAGAGGGAAAGGAGGAGAGAGAAATAGAGTCAGAAACTCAGAAGAGAAAGAAGAAGGGGGAAAAAATATTTATATGAAGGAAGACAATTTCATGGATAATTAATCTATATGCTATTTTATAGGGGATTTTATTTATTTAATAGGGGGTAGAAGAAAACATGAAAGGGAATTTGGGTAGGAGGAAAATTAGTAGGAGTTAGTTCTTGTTGAATTTTAGCAGGGAAATTTTTGTGTTACTTGGAATTATTTTCCTTCAGTTTGACAAGAGTATATTACTTTTATTGAATATATGCTAAAAATGCTATTTGAAATGGGGAGGCTCCAAAGGAACTATGAAGTGTCTCAGCATCTGCAAACATTTGAGTACAATTTTCCCAAGTTTAGATGCTAAATATTAAAACAAAATTTTATGTTTGGTCTATGTAAATGGGATTTGGTCACTTGATGTCATTTTGTAGGTAAACCCAAGAAATCCATGTTGATGTTGAACTTAGGTAGAGTGATGATAGGGAATTATTTGTGAGTACAGAAAAAAGGTCGCTTTATTTTTTGTTCGGATATTTCGAATTTAAAATTGACATAGGATTAAATGAAAAAAATGATGAAATGTGAAAAGGATGATGTAATTATAAATATGGTCGATTTTATTTAATCTGATTTAATTTTCAGTACCTCAAAACAATGATAATCATAGGACAACATCTTGAACACCCTAGAAAGTATAAGTTATGAGGCTTTGTTAGTCTAAGGTTTGGTGAGATTTGGCGGTTTTGGGCCAAAATTGGTATGTTGATTTAGTTTAAGAAAGTGGAAAAGAGAGTAGAGGGTTGGAGTTTTGGAGATGGCCTGGTTAAGCTCGAGTTGGTTCGGTTTATTGTGACATTTACATAAGGAAAGGAAGAAAACTTATTGATTCTTCATAATTGATGATCAATTATTTTTTGTTACGAGATAATCTTCTTTATTACCGACTCCTCCATTTACGTCTGCTCGAGACACAAATACATGGAGAGAAATCAACAATGTTGTACTCAAGGTGATTGAAACACTAACTTCACCTACTAATACTCCCTCAAGCATTTCTTCCCTCACCCCCACACAACTTATCTCGTATGTTCGAGATTGAGAGAGTGAGAGGAGGGGGGTGGGGGGCTAAGCACAACGAGTTCGATTGCACTAGATGATAGAAGTCGGATAATTAGTATTTCGAGCAGGGTGAAGATGAAATTCTGCTGAGTTTCATATGAACTTATTAAAAGGTGGATGTAACATTTTTTCGATGCTAATTACTCGAATTACACAGCAATGCATGTTATCTTGTTGAAAACATGAACAAATGTAAACATGAATTAGCCCTAATGATTTAGTATCATATATGTCGATAAGTGGAGTGCATTGTGAAGATGAAAACACTTTCCTTTTCTTTTTCCAAGGGTAGGAAATACGCGCCCATTCTAACCAGCCCACCATAGGGAGCCAATTGCGCACAAGAATTCAACTTTGGTAATTAGTCACAACTACAAGTACAACGTTCCACCCAAGAAACAGGATTAGTCGAGATAATGCAATTCTTTTTTGGTGAGTTCTTCAAAATTGGCAATTCTTGTGCTCAGTGATTGGATTCCTTGCATCCTCCCCTACTTGTAAAGCTTGCCTTACTTTTGGTAACAATTTGAAGCTACACTTTACCTTCTCGTAAACTAAAATGATCTCAATAACTTGAGTTGCTAACAGAGAATCGTGTATGAATTTAACCACTTTTTTATGTGCCCTCTCTGTCGGAAGCCAACTCATGTGCTTGAAATTTGCATAGGCACCCGATACCATGTGCTTGAAAAGGAATCGTTGATATAAGAGGTAGTGAGAGATTGAACATGTGCCTTCGCGATTAAAACAACTTGGATATCATGTCATAAATCAACCAATTTTAATAACTCAAGTCGTTGAGAGTTTAAATATATTACTTCCTTATATACATGCAAATAAAAACTTGATAAATTTTTTTAGATTATCATGAGTATTTTAGCCAGAATGATTGGTCTTGCAAAAGTGTCCATTAATATTTAAATCAACGATTACCATCAAGTTGAACCATGGTATAGCCCACAATGGAAGCCCCATAGTCTCTACAACATGATCTTAGAATACTAAGTGGTGGAAGAAATTGCAATTAATGTAAAACAAGTAAGCAATCATCCAAAGAGGTGGGTTCGTTTCTCATTTAAACATTAGGTTGATTCTTAACATGTTCTAACAACTCGAGTTTTTGAAATGAGTTGTTTCTTTAACATGCTAGTTTTTGATTGAGAGGTTTTGTATATGGATTCTTTGGTGATTTTCAAGATTAATTGTTGATTTAAGCAAATGGTATGACTTGTATGTGCAAATTAACTTCAAATTCGTGAATTTGGTCTTCACTTGAGGGAGGATTTAGTCAGTGGCGGATACATGCATGTTTAGGGGTGTCCCGGGACACCTCTAAATTTTGAAAAAACGATTATCCAATCTCCTATAGTCGTTTGTGTATGGATAATAAAAAAAATTAAGTTGTAATAGGATACCCTTAAATTCTGGAAAAAAGATTATCCAACTTCGTGTAGTAGTTTGCGTATTGGTACAAATAATATGTAAGTGATAGTCTATGTGACTTGAACTTGGCACACTACTACTATTCTTAAATATATTTTTAATTAGACTAAAACTCATTTATTGTTGTGTTTTAGATCCAAATATAATATAGTAAAAGACTATTCTTATCTCCAAAAATTTCAAAACCTAACGATTAAAATATGGGCTACCCTTGTCTAATACGATATGTCGGGAGAGTTTTTTTAGTAGTGTAGACACCAAATATTTTTTACCATTTTTTCATAATACGAAACACATTTGAACTTTTATTGTAATTTTTTTTTTCAATGAACGGATTCATTTTTACTAGTCGGATATTGTAATTTTTACTATTCGGATATTTTCATATTTAATAATTGTTTATTTTAAATTTTAATTAAATTTAATTTTTGGGAGAGAACACCCCTATATAAAATTTCTAGATCCGCCATCACTGCATATAGTACTGGTGGTATAAAATCGATTCTTGAGTCTCTCACAACAACCTATGTTATTGAAACCATTGAGTTTTCAACACTTTCTCAATTAGTTCGTCTTTTCTTGTGAAAACACAAAGCAAAGGAGTACGCTAATCTGTATCGTTAATCAACATTGATTTTGAAATTCACTCAAGAATATGAATATCTAGAGGAGGAGGTCTCATTGAGGAGGTAAATGGTTCTAGAATGCAAGGTAATATGTTATAAAATTGTTCTCTTCATTGACGTAAATAAGTTTATCCTCCCATAAAAAAATAGTTAGATGGCAAAAAATTTATAGTCAGAGTGCATTGTACATACAATCTACCTAACGTGTGAGACGAATCAGAAATAGAGCCCGATTTATAGAAATACCTTCCCGAACACCATGGAGGCCCAACTGATTAATTCAAATTTGCAATTGTAAACATCACATGGAAACTTGTTTATTGGTTATCCGAAAACGACCCTCCAACAACAAAATAATTGTGGGATAAAAACTCTTAATTATGTTGTCATCTCATACTTAAAAACAAAACCAAACTGAAAAATCCCCATAATTACTTACTTACAAACTGGAACTTTTATTAATTAGTTTAGGCAGTCGCTTTAGTTGCGTATGTGTATCCTCTGCAGCTCTGCAAAACTTCAATTTTACCAGCGCAGTGCTGAGAATCTCTGACGCAGATCTCTAATTTTTTCACCCACCTCGAAATTAATAAACTGCCAGAAAAAATCGTCTCAAGAACAGCAGCAGATTAATAAAGATAAAACTGTCATTACAAATATGCTTAGGGTAAATTTTTTCCCATCAAAATCAAATTAGCCATCAAACCCTTCATCAGCCGTTCTGCTTACTTAGTGCCCACCTAATCAATCAAATCTCTCCATAAAATAAAACTGTCGATGGTAAGATGATCATAAAACAATTCATTTATGGCTAGGTCAGTCTCATACATACATGTACATAAAAAATCTGTATCGACATATCTCTCGATAGCGCAACCAAATTGTCATTGACGTTGTATATCAGTCATTTTTTGTCGATATTATATCATCATATTACTGTTAATATATTATCTTATTTTAACAACTGAATATATCCCTTCGATATGCTATTGGGTAGACCATTACTATACCATTAAATACCATTGTGCTAACTCCTTTGGTAAGATCTCTGGTTCTGTTTGACAAATCACGACTACAAATCCAATAAGGTAGTATCGACATGGTTTGGTGAGGTATAGAATCGATCGAGATAAGATCATACCTAAAATAAAATAAAATTGAACAAAAGAGCTAACCAAAAACAGTATATTTGGTTCACCTAAATTAAAAGAAAAACAAATTTGGTTGATTGAGTTCTATCAAATTTCAAATAAGTTTTTCTAATAATTTTTATTACAGTTAAATTGAATCAAGTAATATTCAATATGATCCGATTCGGTTCGATATGGAATGAATCGTTGCCCGATGTAGACATGAACCATACCAAAAAAAAGCCCTTTTAACTTTTTTCCTCCTTTCAATAAGCTTTCAAAGAAATAATAAGGCTTAATTGCAAGTTTGGTCACTCGAATTGCTCAAAAATTTCACGTTTGCCACTCGAATTGATTTATACCATTTATAGTCACTCGAATTAGTTGAACAGTCCAAGTTCGGTCACTCTCCGTTAACCTCCGTTAGACTCCGTTAATGACGACCGTTAAGTGATGACGTGGCTAACAGAAAGACACAGTCAGCACATTTTAACATAAAAAAAAGACGACCCGACCCGCCAGCTCAGCCTTACCCGCCCTGTCATCCATTTTTTCCCAACCCGCGAACCCCAATTCCCACCTCTCCTTCTCCTACGACCCATTCACCGTCAGCGCCGCCTCCGGCGACGTCTTCCTCGGCAACGGGACCCTCCCGGCGTTCTCGCTGAGCAAGAAGAACGAGACGAGCCTGAGGAACGTGGTGGTGTCCGGGTCGAACGAGGTGGACGCGTAGTCGGTGAACGGGCTCAGATCGGATCTGAAGAAGAGGAACGGAGTGGCGGCGCTCAAGATTCAGCTGGACACGAAAGTGGTTGTGAAGGTGGGCAAGCTGAAGACGAAGAAAGTTGGGATTCGGGTCACCTGTGAGGACATTAAAGGGGTGGTACCGAAAGGTAAGGCTCCTCCCTCTGTTGTTGTAACTGCTGGGTCCAAGTTTAAGGTGGACTTGAGAATCAAGATCTGGAAGGTCACTTTCTGAGTAAGCTTTCATAGTCATGCATCCAATTTGCCTCTGCCAAGCAAAACCCCAGATTTGATTCAAGAATAGGGCGAGGACGGCAGGTGGATGGCTGATGAATGAAAGATGAGGAGGTGACGGCGACGACGACGGGTGGATGGCCGTTGAATCGGTTGGTTCGCGGGTTGGGCAAAATGGTTGGCAGGGCGGGTAAGGCTGAGCTGGCGGGTCGGGTAGTCTTTTTTTAATGTTAAAATGTGCTGAATGTGTCTTTCTGTTAGCCACGTCATCACTTAACGGTCGTCATTAACGGAGTCTAACGGAGGTTAACGGAGAGTGACCGAACTTGGACTGTTCAACTAATTCGAGTGACTATAAATGGAATAAATCGATTCGAGTGGCAAACATGAAATTTTTGAGCAATTCGAGTGACCAAACTTGCAATTAAGCCGAAATAATAATTAGACATTGTAGTTACATCCCAATATAATAAACAAATGGGCTAATGGAGGGTTATTTTAATTCAATTGGGGCTTGGAAAAGAAGAGATTCAGTCAACATCAAGTGAAGTAGGCGGGATACCCTACCACCTACCCTTAAACAGTTAATTATTTGGATAATTATGACAAGGGAACGAATTAATTAATGACGATTAGGGCAGATCAGGGAAGGGAGCAGGCAGCAAGTACACATCATGATCAACATGATGATGATCGTCATTATCAACGGATTAAGAAATAATTAATTGTTTATTAGCAGGTCGTGATCACAACCCTAATCAAGCTTCTTCCCACCTCTTTTCTTTTCCATTCTCAGAATTATTATTATATATTTAAAGAATAAGTAATTTACTGGGCTCTCGTGGGGGCCAAATTTTTTAATTATTCCCCCATTTAATAGCCCGATGAGTCAATCGCGGTAACAGAGGTCCACGCATAATTCTAGTGTGCCTGTAACTGTGAATTTCTTTTTCGTGGTCCTATAAACAATTGTTACAAGTTTTTGTGCTTCAAAAAGATAAAGGAGGTTGAGAAATGCTAAGATCGGTATTATAATATTTAAAAAATTGATCACAAATCGGCCAAGATCATCAGCTTAACTAAGTTGGCGTCGGGTGTTCTTTTATCGAACGGTCGACCGGGTTGGTTCGACTTTATTACTTTAACAACTCTGGTGAGAATAATGAATTATTATTTAGAGATTTGTAGTTAAACGATTTATGGTCTTGTATTATTTAGTATAGTTGTATTCAAGTTTTTATTGCTGAATAGAGATACTTTGAGAAGCTCCAATTGGGCGGTAAGGAGTCGAGGACTCTGGTAATGGTTGGAGGAGATTGAGAGAGAGATGATTTTCACTTCGGATCAATTTTCTATTTAAAAAAAAAAAAAAATCAATTGAATAAGAGTGTGGCTTGGCAGCCATGTAAGGACATCTTAATTGAGTTACTGAAAAAACAAATTAAATAGTCTGGTCAAATTCGTTTATTAGTTTGAGATATTATATCATAATACTTTTAATGATGTTCAAAGTTCGTTCTACTTTCAATATGATATATATCTTCTACTTATATACTCCATAACTATCGATATACATCGTGAAAGTACAAAGGTAAATTGAAAACAAAAATCAAATTTGTTGTTCCCAAGTGTTGAATATAGAATGTGATGTTTTTGATTGACATAAAAGAAATTCTAATTGTAATGTTTCCCGCCTTGCATCTAAATCTAACATTTGTTTGGGTAAAATAAAATTTTGAATTTTGTTTACAGCCTGCGTGCATGGGATCTACTCTCTGCTTTCCATGCAGATACAATAATTAATTAAATATATTATATTATGTAAATATTGATATATGGATGACCAATGGCCTACCACATTAGATGCTCACTTGGGAGTTACATGTAACTCATATTTCTACATCATTATCTCTCATTCATATGCATTGATATAAGGATGTAGTGGTTACCAAAGTGTGTCTATAAATATAGCACACCATTGTATCAAAAGTGAAGAATGAATAAGAAGAACTCTTCCCTCTCTTCTCTTGTGTCTTTCCCTCTCTAATCATCTCTTGTAGTTGCTTATATTTTCATAGTTTCATAACACGTTATCAGCACGAAGCTCTGCTAGCATCATGGTTGGTCATTGTCTCTTTACACAATCCAGTATATTGGAGTAAGATCACAATATGATCAAGGTATGTAAATCTTATATCCTTTCTTATCTTATTGTCTTATTTGTGTTGACATTATCTCATTCCAATATATCAAGATGCGCTACTCTTTTCTCATATCCATTGATATTTTATCACGTCAATCTATTTGGATTAACAAGAAAAGTAATATAAGTGATGAGTTAATTTTTCAGTTCTCTGTGTTATCCTATTCTTATCAATCCCACATTGATATGTAGAAAATGCAAGCTCCAAGAGCCCATATATTCCCCAGAAGTGGAAATTGAAGAATTCAAAGGCAAATAAAGAAAAAAACATGGTAATAAGAATATTGGTTTTGTATGTTACCATTGTAATGGAAAATTGCATTTGTCTCGTACCCGTTGTACGCAAAAGACCATATTCTACCAAGAATCAAAGGGAAAAGCTAATTCATATACGCTCTTGCAATATCAATATTATGGAACATATTTTTTGTATTATAAGTTGGTATATTCTCCATTAAAGATGAAAATGAAATTGCACTTGAGACATTTTCATTCCCAGAAGTGAATGAAACAATCTATTCCCCGAAGTGAATGAAGCTATAAACATGATTATATATATGTTAAATGTATTGTTTAGATCTTTTCACCAGAAGTGAGAAAAGAGGAGAAAAAGGAGAATTATAAATAAGGATGACACAACAATTGCATTATCAAAGTCATGATAACATAATGTACCTGTTGTACATTATAATGTATATTAAACGCATATATAAATCTAAAATCACCTAGTTAGTGATGGTAATCTTCCAAATAAATCTTATTTAATTTTCACAATTTTAGTATTATGATTCTTATTTCTTTTGTTTTATTGTGACGTTATTTTTCATGTATAATTTAATTTGATAACCTTTATCTTTAACAATTAACTTGATAAATTCATCATTTTTGTCTTAAGTTTGAAATATTCTCATTTATTATTTTAGTATGTTTTTGTAAAGTATGATTATTAGAAAAATTTCATATAAACTATATGGTAGAGTAAATAAATAAGAAAAGCTTCCGAAAAGCTTATGTTTGGTTACTTGAAGTAACTAAATTATGTACTCGTGATAACAATTTGTGATGATATTCACTATGAATTAGTGTTTACTAAGAATGCATCAAATCATAAGTCCCCGGAAGAGTTGTATATGGTACAAAATATGGTAAAGCTTTAAAGGAGCTAATTTTGTGGCCTGAAGGAACCAAACTACCTAGTGATGATGCATTACCCAATTAAAAGGATATTCATAAAATGAATATCTTATCAAGAAAATAGTGAAACTAATATTTGCATCACAAATATGTACTACATGTATATTAGTACAATCAGTACACATAAAAGTGTAAACCAGAAGTTTACAAGATTTGATAACTTGATAATTTGGTTGGTCCGGTTAGACCATCCCGGATCATGATGTGAAAAAAATTCTTGGAGAATTCATGAGAACATCATATGAGAAGGCAAAGAACTCTTCAACTAAAAGAGTTATTATGTCATGTTTGTTCTCAAGGAAAATAGAACAATTGATCATCGCTTGTAAAAGAGTTGATAAATCTCTTGAGATTTTATGGACATGTATGCAGAACAATACATCAATCATGTGGATCATTTGTGAATTTTATGGGTTGATGCATCAAATGGATGATCACATGTATTTTATCTAATCGCAACCCGATGTTTGCGATATTGGTTGCCTCACTAGCTATGGATACATTGTGATGGTTATCCAATCAAACATCACTTTGCTTAAGAGAACAAACTGAGCCTTCTGGTCTCTTGTCGAGGACATGCTAGCTGGCAAGTGATAGTATTGGTTCACATCTAACCAACAAGTTATCATAAGTTCTCCCCTTTTACAAATGGTTTTGGTCAGAAACTTAACCTTTCTCATATGAGAATATAAGGGTGTGCGCATACATCCCAATTGCTCCACCACAGTATCTTAAGCTGATTCTCGTTGGAAATTGAGAATTTGTGTTGGGTATGAATCCCAAATGGGAAATTGGTTTGTGAAATTATTGTTTTGATGGATTAATTTCCCAACATTAAGGGGGAGAGGAAAAAAAACAGCTAGACAAAGAGATGAGTTGGAATGAGTTATCATTATCTAGTTTTGATCCTCAAAGTAGAAACATGAACCTGAAGTTCATAAGATGAATTATCATTACCAACTATCAAATGCCTTTACTGGCCATACGAAGTGACCAAGTCACATATACTAGCTGTGAATGCTCCAACTAAATTTGATATCCTTGTTGGATACTCTAATATAAAAAAATGTGTATGAAAGAGCGCATGAAGCGTGATAGACCAATCGGTTCCAATGATAAACATCCTCGAGAAAGAAAAGGAGCTGTAATTAGAATGGTCAACTCGAGGACATGAAAACTCAAGAAGAGTAACCAAGAATTAAGTATAATTTTAGTTCCAGAAGAACACATGTCTATGAAAGTTGTGAAAAGGAAGAGATCTCAAAAACATATTAGACTACAATACTGGAACCGAAATGAAGTCATTGTCGACGAAATTTGTTTGTTGTACTTCAGTACTGAATATGATATATACAAGTGAGGATCAAGAGTAAAACTTTATTGATGCATGAAAATGATAATGTTATTGGCCAATATAGAAAGAAATCATGAAACTTGCTCAAGGAGCATAAAGTTTAAGGACCAGAAGTCCTTGCACCTAAAAGAGGGCAAAAATAGCGGGATACAAACAAATTTTTGTGCTATTGGAAAGTATGAAATTGTGAGAGATATAACACAATGTTTTGCAATGGGTTTCTCGAAAAGACCTATCATTGTTTAAGAGG